AAAAGTTTTTTAGGCGCTGTTTGTTGTTTACGGAGGGCCAGTTTTGTGCGCGCAGGGGAGGGGAGGGTGTTAACCCTATAGTTTGTCGAGGCTTTTGGGATTGGTGAGGATTTCTCTGGCTAACCTCCAGGTCTGTTTGGCAGCGCTTTCCAGGGCCGAGTGGGGTTTGCCCTGAAAGAGGTCTAAATTGGGCAGGAAATAGTGTGGGCAGCGCCGGCACTGCAGGCAGGAGATGAGCTGCAGGAGGATACCGTTCAGCCGGTCCCCCAGGCACGCCTCGTCCCAGTCGGTCTCCCGTGGATGTTTCTCGCATTCGTACAGCAGCAGCGTCTTCATGTGGTAATTATTGAGGGGCTGCCCGGGGAGCTCCAGGTGCCGGTCCCGGAGGGTTTTCAGCACCGAGAGACACTTGTTCCTGCAGCCGCCCATCAGCAGCCGGTTCTCGGCTTCACCGAACTGCAGCACCCAGGCATCGCTCTCCGCCGAGCTCTGCTTGCCCGTCAGCGAGTAGCACTCCTTGGAGAGCAGGTTGAAACCCTCCGCCTTCACCTCCGCCACCCGGTTGGGACCAGGCCAGGGGATGTGTGGCATGGGCCACTGCGCCGCGCTGCGTGGCCAGATCCCCGTGCATTTGAAAGCGGGGGTGATCTGCACCACGTACCGCTCCCGGATCCGCAGCTTCACCTCGCTCGTGTCCGCGATCATCTTCACCACGTCCCGGTAGCTGCACTTGTCCACGGCTTGGGCCACCAACGTTTGGAAGCGGGAGCGGATCTTGCGGGCGGACAGGTATCCCGAGGCGGTGATGAACTCCACCCAGAGGGACATGCTGCGCTTGCGACCGTCGCTCAGCTTCAACACGGCGCAGCCCGGCAGGGAGCCATCGTCCACGAAGTTGAAGACTCCCATTTGGTTGAGGTAAAGCACCACCTCGAACTCGGTGGGAGAAATCACCTCCAGCCCCTCGTAGCGGGCGTCGATCTCGCTCAGGGAGCTGATGAAGCGAGGTTCTTGCACCTCCACCTCCTTCAGCACATCCGACACCACCTTGCACACCTCCCGGATGGTTTTGGCGATGGCTGCTTTGCGAGCCTGGCAGCGTTCCGTGTAATATTTGTTAAGCTGGTAAACCAGCTTAGCCTGGGCGGCGATCATGTTGGGGCACAGGTCCGGGCTGTACACCGGGCTCTCGCAGTACGTTGAGGGATCCAATGCTTTAGCGGTGGCTGCAGCTTTGCGGAGGGCACCGGCCAAATCGCACACTCCCACCCCCTCCGGGAAAAAAGCGGCAGCGACGCGCCAGGGAGAGACAACCAAAAAAAAAAAAAAATCAGGGGGGACGATGAAGCACAAAGGAGCGGAGGAGGAGCGGGCCGGTGGCGGAGCAGCGGGCAGCCCCCGCGGGCTCCCCCGGAGCGGAAAGTTTTTGGGTGGCGGTGGGGGTAGGGAGGTTTGCGCTGCTTCAGGCGCCCACCCCCCCGACCAAAGTGCTATTGAAAGAGTTCATGGAAAAAAAAAAAAAAAAAGCAAAACCAAAACCCAAAGAAAGTTCCCCAGGACGCGCAGAAGGTCCCCGCAGCAAAGCCGGTCCAAGTTGAAACCCGCACACGAGAGGAGGAGGAGGAGAAGAATGCGAGCAATGCCCAGAGCGGAAGAGTGAGCTCTGTGTCTGTCTGTCTGCCTCTCCCGCTCGCTCTCTCTCTGGTTTTCAGTCCGTGGCACCGCCAGCG